TAGGAAGAAAAAAAACTTCACAACAATGTCTCAATAAAGGAAAATCCTTGATCTAGAAAATCCGTAAAATAAAAAGAAGCTAATAAAATATGATTATGAACTTTACGCTCATCCACAAACTTGTCTTTTGACCCTTAAAGAAAATGTGGACATGGACTTGATAAATTCACAGAACTTGTAACGTTTAGGGAAAGGTATATCAAGTTAATGATGGCATAAGTGAAGACGTCCAAAATCAGAAGCAGGCTGACATTGAAAGTTTTTTTTTAAATCTCCATTGATTTAACGTAAAGTTATACATTATATATCGATACGTATAATTCGAAAGTTGCGTAGGTCAAGCAGCATTATACGGTATATATTTAGATGACGCGGATTATGACTTTAAAATCGATTGGAAAAGGGGATGAAGGTGCCATATTCGTATCCAAGGATAAGAAAATAGGTCGTCAGCTCGATTTTGTCGAAAATCAAAAGAATCGGTATATAGTCTTAATTAGTCATTGCATGTCGTACTTGTGTTTCACTGGAAATGATGAAAATTTTGAGTAACGATGATAATTTCTCACGTGTTTGTCTCTCTTTTAAAACCATTGTTCCTACTGATCTTTGAAATTGTTTTAACCAAAGTGCGTTGTTATGGAACTATGTAGATAGTTTTGCTTATTATCCTTGAAAAAGGAATCAGGAACCTCGAAAAAAAGATAGAAAAGTTACTATTATGTTACCAGATGAAGTATTACCGTCAAAAGAAAAAATGCCGTTGGATTCTTCAATCAATCTTATACCCTTGATGGTACTATATATACTAAATATTAATAGGTTTCTTAATATGCTAAGCATGCGTCTGCTTTAAATTAGATATACAAGAATTTCAACCAGACACGAATCCAAGGCTTAGAGGAGCTTTAGAATCTCTTGAGGATGATGCTTACATAGAAAATGATTTAGATGATGCTCTTAACGCTGAAGAATTACCTGAAGAACAAGAGGATTATGAAGAAGGAAAGGCTGAAGAGAGTAATTGGCAAATAGAGTTCAAAAGTTTCGGAAAAATCCGAACAAATTAGAAAAGGATATTAATAAAGAATATGATGATGATAGAGATCAAGAACTCCTGGCAACTATTCTATGTCAAGTTCTGTTATGTATAGAAACGATAACTTCTTGGATGATCAAATTGAAAAGGTTGCTGA